TCGTTCAAAACCTGTTGTATTTACTCTTCTCTTCTCCTCATCCATCAACCTCTCTAGCTCATCTTTTTTATCCGATAAACCTCTGTCTCGTATCTTTGTTATTTCTTCTTATGGATCTGCTCCAAAGTCCAATATTTCTTTTAAGAGCCCACTGACCCTCTCTTTCTTCTTTCCATTTTTCTTCTTTGCTCCCGCCGCAATCAAGATTCCTCTTATGAATACCTTATGACTTTCCCAGACTGTTAGCTATCGATTACGTCCTCTGTTTCATTCTCCTTAAAGTATACTTTAATCTCTTTCTCGATTTTCTGAACTACATCTCATCCAGAAGAAGACCCTCATTTAACCTCCACCCTTAATCCTCCCGTCCACACTTCTTCCCCATCCCATTTTCATTACAACCGGAGCATGGTCGAGAACGTCCTTGTCTCTATATCAATTTTAACCAGATGATCTATAAGTTGATGGTCTATTAAGATGTAATCTAATCTCGAGTATATCTCATGTGCATTAGAGAAGAAGGATATAGTCTCTGTCTTTCATATGCTTTATTTCTCCAAGTGTCCACTAGTTGATATTCATGCATCACTTTTTTCAGAGCTCTCAGAGACCTACTCCCTCTCTTTGCACGGAAGAGGTATTATCCTTTTGTGGGTCCATACAGAAATTTAGGTCTCCAGCTACTATCAGGCGCCCTTTTTTAAATTCCATTAATTTTTTCAGCAGACCCTTCATATACATCTCCGGTTTTTATTAGGGCAGTATATATTGGCTAAAGTACACTCAATCCCCTGGAGTCTACCTTTTAAGAATAAAAACCTCCCCTCCGGGTCAGTTCTTCTATCCTCCAGCTCAAATCTCATATTCTTTGCAAAAACCTATTGCAACCCCTTTTGCTCTTTTATTTGGAGAATCTGCTATAGTACCATGTTGGGTAGTGTTTGGATTTCAATTTCACGTTTGCCTCTATCTCAAAATGCGTCTCCTGTAAAAATACCACTGACGTATATAGCCCTATGATGTAACTCATTAAACAATCTAAATCTCTTCCCTGGACAACTCCACCCGTTCACATTATAGGTTATAAACTGTATTTCTTCCATCATTCCCGATTAACTCCATCTCTTTTCCAGATTGCCTCTTCCTCTTTATCCCTTCTGTCATGCAGAGTATTGACCCAATACCTCCTCCCCCTCCCTCCCTCCCACCCAACTCTCGTCCCCTCCCTCCCCCCTTCCCCCCATCCCTTTTTAGGCTTGTAAAGTTCCTACTAATCATTTGTGGGATCATTCCCACCCTTGATTTAAGACTTTGGGGTTGACCTCCGCCCATGGGCGGCTCACCACTCTCTAAAAATTTGACTCAGAAAGAAAAAAAAAAGATGAAATCAGTCCAGAAGAAATACCCTATTTTCAGAAGGGGGTGGGTGGGAAATGAGGAGCGTGGAAGGGAGAGAAAAAAAAAAAAATAAAATCGAGTCTCTATTTCTCCCCTCCTTCTCTCCCCCGCCCCAAACCGCCCCCTCTTCTTCCCCTAACCCACAGCCAGTCCTCTTTTCTTATATCTTCTGAATTCTCCTTTTTCTTCTTCCCATCCTTCTATTTCCATTCTTTGCAAGTCCAATCTCTCACAAAAGACTCTCAGTTCCTCTGGAAATCTCAGATAGGCTGTGACTCCATTTCTCCATCCAATTAGGCATTCTGGGGTTCCCCATCTATACTGCACCTTCTGCTTTCTCATTGTGTTTCCAATAAAGGTCTCAAGGATCTTCTTCTCCATAGGGTCTCTGATGTTAAGTCCGCATAGATTTGGATATCTAAATCTCTATATTTAATTATTGATCTTCCTTTAATCTTCCTCCAAATCTTATCTTTGTCCCCAGATTTTTGAAATTGAACAACTGTATCCCTCGGTCTCTCTCCTTCCCCATGATCTGTTTGAACTTTCCTGTTCTGAACACTCCATCCAGATTAATCACTTCTGATTCCACTCTATCCATTATGGAGTTTATGAATTTTACTAACTAGTTCATACAGTGATTCCCCTTTTACAGACTCTGGGATTCCTCGTACCCTAAGATTACTCCTTCTTTCTTTATTCTCTTGAACCTCCATCCTATAAAGAAGTTTTTTCTGAATAAAGTCCATATTTATTATCTTCCTTTCTAGTTTAGCAATGGTTTGGGCCTGATTTTAAACTTTCTCCTCTGTTTCCTCCACTCTCAGCAACAGGTGCCCCAAATCATTCCGAATAGATGTCATTTCTTGCTTTATCATTTTCTCCAGACTTTGAAACATTTCTGTCATCTCTTTTTTATTTGGTACATGTAGTTCACCCTCAGGTTCGTTTTTCTCAAGCCTTTCCACCGTTTGTTGACTACAGCTGCTATTCATGTCCAGTGATAATCTAGGGTTACTTCCCAGACTGATTTCCATTTCACCCTTTTCACTAGTATCTTGGGGCCTTTCTGGAGTACTATTTCCTTGAGTAGTATATTTCTTAATCGTTCCCGTTTGAGACCCTTTGAGTCCTGCTCCTTTAATTCCTTTATTCTTCATGTCCTCTATGGGTCTTGTTTTCTTCTATGACCCCTTATACAAATGTAAGTCAAATGTCTATGGCTTGTTAACCCCAGCCTTGCCTTGCTATTTTTTCTTTTATTTTACTTTTCTGTGTCTCCTTATTCCTCTTCTCTTCTCCACCTCTTCTTGACCCTTGAGAATCCCCCCTCCTCTCTTTCACCTTTTTTTTTTCCCCCCTCTTCTCCCACAGAATCCCCCCTCCTCTCTTTCCCATTTTTTTTTTTTCACCTTTTTTTTTTCCCCCTCTGCCTCCAGGAGATTATAGTACACACACAATGTTCCAGTATGTAAAAAGCCCCAGCCGCTCACACTCACCCCCCAGCATCTCTTTACTTGTAAGAGGCTCTGGTGGTCGTCGGGTAGAGGGCCTTTCTCAGTCCCAGGGGGATTCCTCCGGGTCTCCTTTGGTCTCTCGGTCACCTGGAGGTCATCACAAGGCTACATGCTGTTTCTCACAGTTTTCCAGGGTCCAGGGCCAGTCTGCACGCCGGGGAACAAGGCCAGGAGTGAGCCGGCACTTCCCTCTTTGCTCAGGATGCCGGCCGGTCTCACCTCCTCCCAGAGATCCTCCGCGGCTTGTCACATGATCCCGCCGCGTCTCCCTCGTCTCCCGGCTGACCCGGCTCCTGCCTCTCTTTACGGGCCACTCAGCTCCCCGTCCCACCTAACTCCGAGTCCGGTGAGTCTGCCCCTTCATTTTTTTATTTCCGAGGGTCCCTGGGAAGGATGGAAAGCGGAGCCTAGCAGAGTGCTAGTGCCTCACGCTCTCCTCGGTCGCCATGTTCGGGCTCCTCCCCCCCCTGACCAGCAGATGCATTGACCGAGAGTTCGAACTCTGCTATGGCCCTGTTCTATGTTTACACCCAGGCCAGTCTGTAGATTATAGCCGTTTTACTGGGAAATGACTAATATCTCCAAATTCGTGCTGATGTATGCATCAAAACCTACACATTTTTTTGCTTCTTGTATTTGGGATAAATAGGAGAAAAACATTTTTTGTAATAATGTTTGGAATAGTATTCTACAAAGTACAGTACATTATGCATTACAGGCATTTTTGTCAATTTCTCTGCTTAATATAAAAAAAATAAAGATCTTTTAAATAACAAACTGCAAAAGAGAGTGCTGACTATAAATAGGCCACTGAGCGCCAAGAACTGTCAGCTTTGCACCTGAGTACCCATCTGCGCACATTTCTGCCCAAATTAGTGTGGTCATGCTGAATGATGGCAGATGAGCCCTTTCTTCTGTGGTTCATCCTCTGACATGGATAAATATAAGCGTAAAACAGAAAGCATTATTAGTGACAGTGCTTCTCTCACAGAGTCTGCTTTAAAGATGGAAAATAGGAATATAAAACAGTAGCAAGAAAACACATGAATGCTTTGTGTACAAGAAAAAAAGGTAATTTAAAAGCAAATTGCAGAGTCTGGAATGCTGGAGTGCAAAAACAAACTAAACTAAAAAAAAACAAAAGTGTGAAGGAAGAAACGGATTTTTCAATTAATATTTTTTTCAATCCAAAAAGTTGCACCTTATCTTTGCATGCATGGCACTATGATCCAGGAGCTATGAGTCACATGACAAATGGCAGAAATTTCTTTTCATCTTGATCAGAGTAATACAGAAAAAATCAAGACAGCTAATGGACAAATAATAGAATCAGAAGGAATAGGAGATGGTTTTCTTTACTGTTTACTATTTCCCAGAGTGTCACCAGAAAGATACCTGTGAAAAATGTCCTGTATGCTCCTGCTCTTGAAACTAATTTCTTGTCAGTGAAGAAGTTCACAAAACAAGGCAATGTAGTGACTTTCCAAAATGATAGTTGTGCCACCACAAAAGGGGATATCTTATTTGCAAATGCTAAAATTACAGAGGAACTATATCAGCTGAACTGGAATGAAGTGGTTAATACTGCCAAGGAGTAAGAACATTCAAACTGCATTCACACATGGCACAGATAACTTAGGCACAGAAATCCTGACATAATAAAGAAATTGTCTCATTGTCACTCTTAGTTTTCATCCTTACGTTGGAGTCATTCCTTCAACACGTCAGATATGACAGTTCTATTCAGGGGGGTGCATGTACCGTATTTTTCGCTCCATAAGACGCAAAAAAGGAGGGAATAAGTCAGTGCGTCTTATGGAGCAAGTATAAAGCGACCGGTCCGATATTTCCACCACCACCATGTCAGAATACCAGGCCGGCCACTCAGCTGTTCTCTGATGCAGGACCTTACCTGTTCCTCGGTCCAGCACTGCGCAGTCTTTTCGTGCCGGCTTCTTCCCGCGCCGGCATCTGTGACAGCCGGGTGCCCACTGCGCATGCGCGAAAAGCGCTGCGCTTTGTGAATGGTCCAGCGTCTTCTGGGACACATAAAAGGTCCCGGAAGATGCTGGGCCATTCACAAAGTGCAGCTCTTCTCGAGCATGCGCAGTGGGCACCCGTCTGTCTCAGCCGGTTGCCCACAGTAAAGGGAGGACAACTCCACAGAAGTGGGAGTAGGTACCTGTCAAATTCAGGTACCCGCTCCCCCTCCCTCCCTAAAGGTCCGGGATGCCCTGTACTGTCTGCAGTCTCTTGGTCATCTCCTGTACTTGGTCATCTCCTGTACTGTCTGCAGTCTCTGGTCATCCCCTGTACTGTCTGCAGTCTCTGGTCATCCCCTGTACTGTCTGCAGTCTCTGGTCATCCCCTGTACTGTCTGCAGTCTCTGGTCATCCCCTGTACTGTCTGCAGTCTCTGGTCATCCCCTGTACTGTCTGCAGTCTCTGGTCATTCCTTGTACTATGTCCGCAGTCTCTGGTCATTCCCTGTACTACGTCCGCAGGCTCTGGTCATCCCCTGTACTACGTCCGTAATCTCTGGTCATCTCCTGTACTGTGTTCTCAGTCTCTGGTCATCTCCTGCGCTATGTCCGCAGTCTCTGGTCATCTCCTCTATTGTGTCCGCAGTCTCTGGTCATGTCCTGTACTGTGTCCGCAGTCTCTGGTCATCTCCTGTACTGTGTCCACAGTCTCTGGTCGTCATCTGTACTGTGTCCGCAGTCTCTGGTACTGTGCTGTGCTGTCTCCTGTACTGTGTCCGCAGTCTCTGGTCATCTCCTGTACCATGTCCGCAGTCTCTGGTCATTTCCTGTACTATGTCTGAAGTCAATTGGTTCAGAATATGTTTTTTTCTTATTTTTCTCCTCTAAAACCTACGCGTGTCTTATGGTCAGGTAAGTGATTACCATCATAAGTTGGAAGCTTATGCCGACGACCTCCTATTTTATGTGAAGAACCCTTCATTTCCTTATCCTCCTTACTGTAGGAGCTGAAACGTTATGGCTCACTTTCCAATTTTAATATTAACTTCCAAAAGATGGAGGCATTGAACGTGTCCCTTTATGTATCAGTTGTGGCAAGTTTACATCCACATTTTCTTTTTAAATGGGCCACAGAGTCCATACAATACTTAGGGACTAAAATCCTGAAGAATCTGAATGTGGTTTTCTCCCTGAACTTTCAACCTGTCCTGACTGCTTCATCTGCCGATTTCCTTGCTTTGTCATGGTTTGGTCATTGCAATGTATTTGAAATGAATGCTATGCCCTGATTGTTATATTTACTACTACAGGCCTTAACGATCAAGTTGCCTCTTGCTTTTTCATTCTGTGCGCTCAGCTTTCATCAAAGTTTGTATGGCACAGTAAGCACCCTCACTGAAAGGCGGTCTGGGTTTTCCTGAGCCAGCATTATTCTACACAGCTGACTAAATGACCAGAGTAGTGGACTGTTGTAACACCAGGCCCACAAACTCGGTCATATTGGAACAAGACGCAGCTGGGGCACTGCTTGCAGGGCTGCCATGGGCAGGTAAACAATATGTGTCTCACCTTTCCACCCATCCGCTGATAGGCCCTGTGTTGGCCGAAATTAACAGATTTGTGAAATTGGTTTCCTTGGAGAGTTTCCTCTCTCCTTTGATGCCGATAATAGGCCATCCAGGGTTCTTACATGGGCTTACTGATTTGCACTTACGATCCTTGTCACCTCATTGCCTATTGCGTAAACAATATTAATGTATCCTCCTGCGCTCAATATAGGCACGATCCCTATCTCAACAGCTGCTGTCACTTAACTTAACCATTAAGTAGCCAAATAATACCTTAAAATAGTGAAGCGCTAAATAAATAAATCAATATATATATATATTAAGGTGCCATCAGTGAATATAAGTGCTATAGTGTTAATAGTTCCTTGTTAATCACTGGAACATTACAACCAATGGTGTATAAAAAGCCAAACTGAATGCTTAATATATCAATGAAAAATAATAAAAAATATAAATAAAACACACCAGTGACAAATAATCTAATATCTCCAAAAAAATTTCCTTTCTTCTCATTCACTATTTAAAAATAGAAAGTGCTCATCGATAATCAAAAGTGAACAAGTGTATAAAAAAACTTTTTTCCGTGCATATACAAAAAAAAAAATATATATAGATGTATCATATATATATATAGATAAATAAAGTCCATGCAAGTGTATCTTGTGATAAAACAGTGGTCTCCACTTCTAGTGCTCAAACACAAATCCTCAAATGGCAGCAGTGCCTGCTCACCTCCCCCGCACTGACCCTCGAGGGGCCAAAAGACTACTTAATCTCCTCTATGGCCAATCTTTTTCCTTCGGTAGCTCAACAGGTGATCACAGGGTCTCCACTTCTCCTCCACTCATACGTCATATAGGACATAAAACAGAGCTTCCCATAGTGTAATATTGTTTAATATAAGCCACTTCTATTACATATTGGTTGTACTCACAATTTTTCCCTGGTTACAAAAGCCTTCCACCTCATCCCATAGGTGTATCTCATGAACACAGGGGAACTCCAATATGGCCGCTCCGTTCGGACATGCGTCCCACGTGACCGGAAGTGACGTAGTTTCAAACCGGATATGGCGTACCGACGCGTTGCGTCACGTGCGTCGTGACTTCATCAGGGTTAACGCCCACCAGTGTCTGAATGCATTTAAATAGGATCCAGCCTAATCTCTCTTCCCAATTAGAAGGCGGGCTCTCGGCGGCCATTTTCCCGAAGCCCGCTATCTTCACTATACAGCACGGAGGAACATTATCATAATGTCCCTCTTAAGGGAAAAAACCTCGATCTATACCACTATTTAATACTGCAATTCTTGTGTCCCATTGTTAAACAATAAATCTATGGAGTATCACCGTATAATTTAAACCCCAAAATCAACATATATTAAAAAAAATTTCTTTATTTTATTAAAAAACACTTTACTACACATATGTAATTATATTTAATAAACACCAATTAAAAAAATATATATAAGCTTTAAAACCTATATAAAATTATATATATAATATATATATATATATGAATATATATATTTCCACATCTTATAAAATTGCCCTTCTACATATAGACCCATCCTAAATTTAATATACCTTGTATTCCAATAATATATTCCTCAAAAATTAACCTTAATATTAAAATTAAAATGGGACCATTTATACTTTAACCCTTATAAAGCATCTCTACCATATATAAGAACATCTCTTATATATATAGAAGGAACCCTGTTGATACACCCATGGCTTGAGTTTACAGTAATCCTCATATTATATATATATAAACCTTTTAATTCATCCTTTTTATCAAATCTCATAAATTAAAAATCATATAAAACTAAACAACATGTTAATAATTCAAAAGGATTCTTAATGGATATATATTTGACTAAACTGCTTTATACTCTCGTCTATTCTAACAATAGACCCAGAGTTTATATTAACAAATATTCCGATAAAAAATATGTACATATATATCCATTCATATCAGACTACCACCACTAGGGGCTTCCTAAAAAATAATAATAGTCTTAATTATTAAAAGTCACTAATAAAACAATTTAAATCAAATTCCACATTGAGTCCAAAAGGTGCCTGCGTATGCATAGTAAAAATCCATCAAGATTCCGCCTGGCTCAAAGATTTAATCTTATTGCTTCCTCTCCAGTGTTTGGTATATTTTTGAATCCCCAGAACCTCAAACCTGAAGGATCCTTATTATGTTTTTTTTAAAAAATGTTTGGATACACTGTGTTTCGGGAAACCATTTTTTATGTTCTGAACATGTTCCCTAATACGTTTCCAGAGGGGTCTTTTTGTTCTGCCTATGTATTGGTAGCCACAGTCACATTCCAAACCATAGACCACACCTTCTGTACAGCAAGTAATGAAATCCTTGATTTTAAACTCCTTTCCGTCAACATTACATTTAAAGGTTTTCCGTTTCACATTTTTACCTCTTGTTTCCCTGCATCCATAACAATGTCTGCACGGGAAAAAACCTATTTGGTCCAAAAAAGTTGATTTTTTCCTATCAGGTGGATCTAACACACTTTTAAACTAGCCTCATCCTCAATGTGGGTGCTCTTCTGTAAATACATTTTGGACAATCATCTAATATTGGGTTCAACACAGGGTCAGATTTCAAAATTGACCAATGCCTCCTAAATATTTGTTCTATTTTTTTTATAGTGGACATTAAAATCTAGCACAATGGCCATCTGACTATCAAAATTCTTGTCCTTCTTCTTGTCCAATATCAACGAATTCCTCTCCAGATTCCCGACTTCATTAATCTTTCTTTCAATTTCTTGCTTTGGGTACCCTTTGTTTATGAATTTGTTCCCCATCACTTCCGCTTGTTTTTTATACTCTTCTTGGTTTGAGCAGTTCCTTTTTAGCCTAACCAGTTGTCCCTTTGGGATATTATACAGCCATGGGGGAAAATGGCAACTGTCTACTGGTATAAAGCCATTCCTATCTACTTCCTTAAAAAACATTTAGTAATAATTTTTCCTCTTTCTATTCTAATATTAAGATCTAGAAAGTTAACTTGACAGTTATCATATGTCCATGAAAAATTTATATTTCTATTATTGATATTCATTCCATTCAGAAAACCTAGTAATGACTCACTGTTTCCTTTCCATATCATGATCACGTCATCTATATATCTAGAATATAGCATAAGTTCCTCGGGGGTTTGGCGATAAATCGCCTCTTCCTCCCAGTGGGCCATATACAAATTGGCCACACTGGGGGCATACTTAGCCCCCATTGCAACTCCTTTTATTTGTTGAAAAAATTTTTTTGGAGATATTAGATTATTTGTCACTGGAGTGTTTATTTATATTTTTTATTATTTTTCATTGATATATTAAGCATTCAGTTTGGCTTTTTATACACCATTGGTTGTAATGTTCCAGTGATTAACAAGGAACTATTAACACTATAGCACTTATATTCACTGATGGCACCTTAATATATATATATATTGATTTATTTATTTAGCGCTTCACCTATTGCGTGCTTCCCATTTCTTGTGTCCCAATGGCTGGGTTGTGATGGGCACTCTGTTTCCAGGTTCATCTACCCCTTCTCCGGATCATTTGAGAGCCCTTCAGTTATCTAATTTCTTGCACTCTCTACCTAAACATGTGCTTTTTCCCTATAAAATTCCACCTGTTCAAAGAGCTCTGTTTAGGAGAGGGCCCAATTTGCAGATCTCTTTCCACCTGCTACAAATTTCTGTTGGAACTCCACGGTTCAGTCTTATCCCTCCTTCCTTACCAACAGGTAACTTTTTCTGACCCTCAAAAGGAGCGAAGGAGCATATATTCTTTTTTTTTCACATAAATCTTCTCTGTGCAGCAGATACCAAGAGACCACCTACAAAATAATGTCTTGTTACAGAACACTGTCAGTCCTTGCCAAATTGTACCCCCAACAGAGTGATCATTGCTGGAGATGTGGTTTGTCTGAGGGCATTCCTACATGTTTTTTGGAAATGCCCTGAGGTGTGCACTTTCTGGCATCCTGTACTTCAAATGATCCACAAATTTACTGATGTTTCCTTGCAGGATAACCCTGCTGCGATACTGCTTAATCTCACTCTGTTATCAGAGAAGCAATATCATAAATCTCTACTTAAGCACCTGTTGAATGCAGCACGCGCTTGTATCCCTACCATGTGGAAAC